AGGTGTTCCAGTGGCAGATAGATGTGATGTGATGGGTTGAGGGAACAGCAGCTGCTGACCTTTTTTATCTTAGCTTAGACACAGGTATCCCTGAGGGAAACCCTTATTTATCACTCTCTTATCCACATGGCACCAGTGATGAGCTCCCAAAATCCTAAGAACCGGTTCCCTACCGGATCTTCGGCGGCAGGGAGAGGTCTTCACTCGCTCCAGGTTTTCGGCGGCATTTCGGCGGCAGGTCCTTCGCCCGGAGCGAGTGAAGACCCCCCCTGCCGCCAAAGTGCCACCGAAGACCCGGTAGGGAACCGCGCGGTGAGTACAAGCCGCATGTACCATGCGTCTGACGAAGTGGGTATTCACCCACGAAAGCTTATGCTCCAATACATCTGTTAGTCTTAAAGGTGCCACAGTACTCTCTGTTGCTTTTTACAGATCCAGACTAATACAGCTAACCCTCTGATGCATTCACTTAAATGTCCCTGCTTGATATTGCAACTGCTTTGTGTGTCCCATAAATGATAACAGAGAGACACTTAAAAAATAAACTAAGGAACTCCTAGAGCAGTGTTGACTCATGGTCAAAGCAGTGCACTGGGAGCCAATACTGAGGACTGTCTGTGTCACTGTGTAACCTCTAAAAAAACAGGAGTACTTGTGGCACCTTAGAGACTAACAAATTTATTTGAGCATAAGCTTTCGTGGGCTACAGCCCACTTCATCGGATGCATAGAATGGAACATATAGTAAGGAGATATATATACACATACAGAGAACATGAAAAGGTGGGAGTTGCCCTACCAACTCTAATAGCCTCTACCACTCCTAGACACACAGAATCCCTTTCCAGAGAAATATCTGTAGAAGAGCTCTGGAGTGGGGGAGGAAAGTGCAAAGATTCCCTTGAACAATGTCTCCATCATTTCAGGGGTAGGAGTGTTTGCCCTCCTGAGAAATGGGTGATGATTCTGCCCCCAAACCAAATGGATTCCAAACATACATGCACAGGCTCTGTCCTGGGACCCACAGCACCTCCCTGCTAGCTCAATGCGTGGCTCCATTGGAACCATACTACTTAGGGGCTCCTCTACACATGGCTGTTCTTTTTACAGGCGGCTTCTCCATGTGGAAGAATAGTGGTAAAGGTAATGCTGTGTTGTCTTTTCCAAGTAATCAGCACAAATATAATCACCCTCCCATACCCCATAATTCAAAGCTATGGGCGTTGATCAAAGGGAGCAAGTGTTTCGTTCAGCAGGCTGTATTGTCTGGAGCAGCCTTTAAATTTCTGGAAGAGTCCAAAATTCTGTCTTTGCATCTTTTTCTCCCCACCACAGACAGACACATCCCCAGATCACCTCCAAACCAGAAAGCCCCCAGATGTTACAGTCAATTCAATCTGATTTTCAAATAGTTAAATCTTATTTTTCCCAGAGAAATCAATGGCATTAGTTAGAATAACAAAGCAGCAGTCTCTGCATCATTTACCAAACAAACTAGGAACTGTGCAGAAAGTCCCAATAGCAGCAGAGCCCTAAAACTCGAACATGTGCTAGTGGTGCATTTCAAGGCCTCTCAGTACACTGTAAAGATTCCCTCCCAGAAATTTCTAGTTTCTTGCCATCTGTTTTAAGATGCAATAGCTGCTCTGTAGCTTTCCAAATGCAGAGCCCCTGACTCAACAATTCAGGGGACCACTTTGCTTTGTCTCTCTTTCTTAGGAATTTCTCATGTGACCACCACCACCGCAGACCTTGAGTACAGAGTCATCTCCCGGTTCCAGATTTGAGAATCATTTGAGGGGTTCTGTGGCAGTGCAGCAATGGGGAACTTCAGAAAAACTGAGGAGCAAAAAGTCAAGCCTCCAGCATAGCATTTTAAAACTGCAATCTTCTTCAGTTCTCCTTTTGGGGGGGGGGGGGGGGGGAGTGTGGACAGCAGGGAGGGACTGCTGAGAAAATCCATGGTAAACTGATCTTCCTGACTCCTTCCAGAGGTCTTCCGTGGATGCTTGAAAAATGTGTTCTTGTGGGCTCCAAGTGTGTTAAGAGCCAGATAAATTGTTTTGTTTGTTCATTTCCTGTCATTTCAGGGTTCCTTGAGGACTTTCTCAGTGAGAATAGGGAGAGGTCAGTGTTCTGTTATTTAGAAAGACTCCAATTACAGATATTTAAACAAGCCAAAAGTGAACAGCTTAACAGGTCAGATGAGGAAAGCAAAATATCAAAGTCATCCTCTCCCTCCCTCTCTCCGAGGGAAACCAGAGCCCCTGTGACCCTAAACATCTGATTTCCCCACACACTCACCACCAGTTTACCCTCTTTGTTTAGCGCTGTCCACGGTTTTCTCATAAGAGAGCCCATTGTGGGGTTGGTGGGAAGAGGGGGCAAGAGGTGTCTGCCCTCACTACGGGAATGCAGAGACCCTGCCACTGGTGGGGTGGGAAGGGGAGAATAGATCTGGGCTCAGCTGCAGCTGTTTCCATGTCAGGAGAGAGGGAGCTGCATAAGGAAAGAGAGGGTGTGGGTGTTCAGCTGAAAGGAGAGCAGACTTGCTTACATAAGAGAGCATTGAAAGGCTCTGGATGTAGAAGCTATAGTTACAAATGAAGACTCTGGCTGTAGGGAGCCTTACTCCTTTTGTGGGAAGCCTTGTATTTTGTGTTGGACTTTTGTTATAGGGGCCTGTTTTCAGTCTACAGCAGGTAGGCAATAAGCTTGGGCCCATCAATTCCCACCATGACCAGGGGCTGGGCTGACATTCTGTGACTGAGAGGTTGATCATCTGAGCTTTCAGCTCTTCCATGCAGGCCTTATTTGCTGCCCTTGTAGAACTGAACTGGATAAAAATGGAATTAGCATATTATTATTGTTATTTATTTGTATTATTGTAGCATGTAGAAACCTACTGTGCTAGACACTATACAAACCCAGAACAAAAGTTAGATCTAGCGCACTGGTTCTCAACTTTGTTGGGCTCAGGACCCATTTGTAAGCCTTGATAACCTGTCGTGACCCAGTGAGTAGCTTAAGGGCAAAAAAAATCTGTCTTACTAGATATTTCTTACATTAATGTGTCTATATTGTGGGTAATAAGCACTAAATAAGTGCACCCTGCAGACCATCTTGGCAGCTCCTGTCCTCCAGGGCTTGCTGGGCTCAGCTCCCTCCTCCAGGCATGGGGGCTCAGCACCGGTCAGATTTGGCCCAGCCACTCCTCTGTCACGATGATGGGTGGGCCAGCTAGGCCAAATTTGAGTGAGTGGCCTTACAAGCCTGGTGCATGTGGACCCTCCTCTTCCACAGACTTTGTGTGTGACCTTGGGCAAGTCACCTCGCCTCTCTGTGCCTAAGTTCCCCATCTGTAAAATGGGCATAGTACCCTACCTAACGGGAATTGTGAGGACAATTGCATTAAAGATTGTGAGGTGCTCAGATACTTTGGTGATGGAGGCCATATAAGTACCTAAGATAGACAGAATTTAAAAAATCCATTTAAAATTCATTATTATTGAGTTCTGTCTCTTCTCAAACATGAGGAATGCTATATGACCTCTTTCTGTGGTACTAGAGCTGTAGGATATTTAAGATATGGATACATTGCAAATATTATAGCAGAACTGAAAAACATATACAGGAGGTACAATGACTTTGTTTCAGTGCAATATGTTGGAGATGGGGCCAGAACTTTTGGGAAATGTTTAGATCTGTGGCTTGGGCCCATGGTATTTTGAAGAATTTCTAGGACATATTATTCCTTCCATTTTTCCCCCACCCCCATCAGCTGCACTATTTTGCATGGCACAGTGAGGGTAAATTATATTATTTTGAGCAGGCAAAAAAATATAGTCTATTTTATTTGACTTTCAGCAAGAGTTATCCAAATTTCGCAGAGCTCTGATGGAGTTGTTCTTGTTGGATAAGCATGAGTATATGTGTAGGTGACAAAAAGACTTTGAACACACACAAGATGAGAGGTGAGACATTGGGTGACGTGCCCCTAAATCATCATGACTTTTGTGGAAAATGGAAAAAGCAATGTTTCAAATGTATTGGATGCAACTAGAGCCGGTCAGGTTATTTGTTGTGAATCATTTATCTGAGAACCTTGACCATTTTCCCCTCCCCTTTTAAAATTATCTACAAATGCGTGACTTTTACATATTTTCTTCTTGTTATCAGTGTGGTCAAATGAATCGTTTTGTGCAAACAAATTTTAACCAATGTTTGGGCACAAACTTGTTGCTGTGAGTATTCACTATTTGTGTCATTACTAATCATCTAGGTCACATGGTGTTGACTCTGTTTCCTGATAGGTTGGCCTATGTTTTATAGACAAGGGGACTTCCTTCCAGCATCAGGGTGATTTACAAGGCTTATGTAGACACGTTCCAGATCCCAAGCCTCATGCTCCACCGCAGCTTTACCAGTCAGCTAGGAAACCATATTCAATCAGTTGAGAAGCCAAGCTAAAGTCATGCTTATTCATATTTCCACAGGGCTTGGATGCCACAGAAACAGGGGCTTCATAAAAACCTAAGACAGGTAGGGAGTGAATTCACACACCTCTGGAAAACAGAGATAATACACAGGTGTGATGTGACACTTTAAGCCCTATGGAAGAAAATGCTATCCAAGTTGAAGGCTCCATTCCACTTGCTGCATGGGGCTGTTTTAAGATGGAAAACTTTTAAAAAATAAAATCACACACAGCGCTCTTTAGAGACCCCATGCTGCTTTTTTTAAGAGTAGGGGTTTGTCACAATGCCTTTGGCCAAACTTATTCCTCCTCCGCATACAGAAAAGGTAGTGTTCTGACCCCCAGAGGTGACTGCATTTTGGTGGAACTGTGTATGTAGTTTGTGAAATGTGTTAGTAGCCTTTATTACTAAAATGCTGGGGCTTATTTTTTCAGTTAATTTCTTTAGGGTGTTTTTTGTTTGTTTGTTTTGTTTTTTTTTAACTTTGAGAGACCTAATTACACCCTTTCTTGACTCTTAACAGAATTTCTAATGTGAAAGGAAAAAGCCAGGAAGTGCCAAGGAGGTGCTGCTCCCCATTGATTGGCATTGACCGTTCTGGGCCTTTCCCACAAGCACTGGGTGAAGATGAGCAGCCTGTCCCGAGCATGACGTCATTGGCAAATGTCATTGCTTCCCACCATTCAGAGTGGGTCTCCTTCAATGATGAGCTACTCGTGCCAGTTACTTCGCAGGGTAAGTTCCCTCAGATTCCTTTAGAGCCCTTTAAGACTTTTTAAAATTAAACTGGCCCATCTACTGACACAGATTTGGTCTCATGAGAACCTGCCTTCCAAGTGGGAACAGAGGAGGCTGAGTTACTTCCTACTTCCCCTCCATGATGGAGAGTTCTGGGTAAAAATATCAAATGTTATGTATCAAGAGAAATGTTTTATAAATGCCCTTTCATTAGGCCTAGTTCTGCCTCAGTTACACAGTTCCCACTGACCACATGGGATGTTTCACCTATTATAACTAAGGGCAAAACTAGGCCTGGTGTGAGATTAAAAGGGGATGAAGGCTGTTCACCTATAGTTAGTGACAAGCTCAGCAGAGACTGCTACAGGGCTTCGTAAGAAATAATAAACTAATGCCAGCTGCACTAAATCTCTCTATCCCACTCCTGGTGATTCTCCTCCTAGCATGAACCCTCAGGTCCAAGAGCAGAAACTAAAGTTGCCTCTCATCATTAGCAACCAGTCAGCACAAGTTACATGTAATTCCTTTCCTGCAAAAATGGGTCCCCAAGTGCTGGAGTTCCTATAGTTAATACAGCGAACATGTTTGATTTCTCTATGCTTATGCTGTTATTTATAAAGAGTGATTTCGGAGGAGACAATCAGCTTTTCAGATGAGTCTGGACGTCAGCTGGAGTGAGATAGAAAAGCTGCTCTGATGGCAGGAGCTTTGTTTCTTTCAAGGCCTCCGTTAGTGGGTGACCAACAAATGGTCACTATGCTGTGAAACCTGTATATGCTGTGTCCCCTCATTCATGCACGCACCAGCCCTGTCTAGCGCAGGAAAATAAGTAGTTGTAGTGGTGGCTCCTCCCACTCTGGCTCAGTGGGAGGCCACTCCGCCTCACTACGTCATGAGGATCTGCCCACCGTCAGGGAATTAGCAGCAGAGTAAATAGTCTAAGGCTCTAGCCCTTAGGTGGAACATAGCAAATGAGCTGTCTGCAAGGTCTGGCTCTTAGGAAGGGGCAATAGCAGTCTAGGGCCTCAGGCAGGGGTGAGCACCATACAGTTTAGGGCCTCAGGCAGGGGTGAGCACCATACAGTTTAGGGCCTCAGGCAGGGGTGAGCACCATACAGTTTAGGGCTCAGGCTGGGGTGAGCACCATACAGTCTAGGGCTCAGGCAGGGGTGCTTTTCTAGCCTGGGGGGTAGGGCGCAGAAATAGGCAGTCCATTGCCTGACATCTTGGGTCAGGCAGACAAATGCAGGTCTCTTGTCCTAAGTGGGGAGGCTACCACCCCAGGGGTGAGGTGGCAGGGGGTAGAGGGACACGGGCCCACCTGACCCCAGCCCAGGGCCCTAACAGTGGCAAGGCATCCCACCGCTGGGTCAGTGGGGAATTCAGCTGCAGCATGCCGAACACGTTTAAGTAACCATACAGCCGGACTGGAGTCTGGGCCACTTCCTACTTTCCCCTTGGGGTGTACCTACATCCAGGGGTGTCCTCCATCTCCTCTGAGTAGGTATCCAGTGGCAGCTCCCACCACTCCTCAGGGTCCAGGTTAGTCGGCAGTGGCAGCAGCTCTGGCCAGTCTTCAGCACAGTAAGGGTTCTCCTCGGGCTCTAACTCTGGGAGCAGGCAGGAGGCGTCTGTCTCCTCCAGCTGCTTTCTCCCAGCTGAACTACAGGGTTCAGCCTTTATACTTCCTGTCCTGTCCCTTGACTTCTGGTAGGTGGGGCAAGCCCGCTCCGGCTCCGCTCACCCAGGTTTAGCAGTTGGCTCCTCCCCCTCTGGCTCAGTAGGAGGCCACTCCACCTCATCACAGAAGTGTTTAAAAAATGTGTTAGCTAACTTGTTGTTAAATCGTGGTTGACCGAGCAGGGAATCTAAGGGCAACCACAACCAGCCAACATCTTCTCCCTTCCCAGCCACCCATCCCATCCCCTGTAAGATTTCATACTCCAATGCAGAACTTGGCACTGACATTTCTGTATGTTTTGTCTCAACTTTAGGTGGCACAGAAGAGCCTCTGGAAAAGTGTTTTTCCTCCTCCGACACTTCCTCAGAAGACAACCATAATGTGGATGGAGAGTTTCAGGACCTCTCACACACTGAGCTGAGTAATGACGTGGACAAGCCTGGGGTGGACTCTGCATCAGTATCTCTGCTTGGGAACCATGTGTGTCCCAAACCTGATCTATCTTCATCTATCAGTAACTGGGTTCAATTTGAAGATGTGCCATGGACCAGCACTTTACCAGCTCACATACAAACAGGTAGGGGAGCTTCATGCAAAGGTCTGTTACAATAATACAGCAGGTGGCCGCAAGGGTCTGCACAAATAGCAGATTTTCTTTTTACCCTTCTCTCAGTTCTCTTTAGCTGAAACTGTGCAAGTCATAGTTGAGATTAAACCAGAGGTGGGCAAATTACGGCCTGCGGGCCACATCCATCCTGCCCGGCCTTTGAGCTCCCGGCCGGGGAGGCTAGCCCACGGGCCCTCCCCTGCTGCCCCTCCTCCGGGTGGCACGGCGGCCAGACATGCTGCTCTGATCGGCATGGTAAGGGGACCAGGGGGTTGGATAAGGGGCAGGGAGTCCTGTGGGACGGGGAGCAGGGGCAGTTGGATGGGGCAGAGGGTCGGGGGGGGCGGTCAGGGGACGGGGAATGAGGGGGGGAAGTTGGTTGGATAGGCGTGGGAGTCCCGGGGGGCCTGTCGGGGGTGGGGGTATGGATAGGAGTCAGGGGACAGGGAGCAGGGAGGGTTGGATAGGGGGTGGGGTCCCGGGGGACAGTTAGGGGTGGGGGGCCCCAGGAGGGGGCAGTTAGGGGACAAGGAGCAGGGGGGTTGGATGGGTTGGGGTTCTGAGGGGGGCAGTCAGGGGGTGAGAAGTGGGAAGGGTTGGATGGGAGCGGGGACCAGGCTGTTTGGGGAGGCACATCCTTCCCTACCTGGCCCTCCATACAGTTTGCCCACCCCTGGATTAAACACAATGGATACTAGCACAGTTTCAAACAGGGCCTATAACTTATCTGTGCCCCTCCCCTCTGTATCAACTACATTCTCTGTTTAATAACACCTTTGGGAGAGAAACAGGTCATTTAAGACATGATAGGTCAAGTCTGAGCTAAGGTTAGCCTGTGGGTTTATCAACAGCAGCATAGAAGATGAAGGGGGAAATGAGTGAAGGATGAAAGGGTAAATTAAGTTTCCATGAGCCATCTAATCCTTGGCTTCTCCGTTGAGACTTCCAACAAAGTGGTTGGGGTGGGGAGGCCAGGGAAGGGAAGGTGGAGGACAATGACAGTGGTGGTTTTAGTGATAAGGATGCCTGTCCACTGGAAAATTAATCAGACTGTACCAACTCATGTACAGTAGGCCACCAATCAGCTTTTAAATTTTGGGCTACATTCATACTGGTGACCTAGATGTCCACCCTTTTCTTCATGATGGGGCTGCTGCTTTTGTTGTCTTCCCTGATGCATCATCCCAATCGCTGAATTGCTTCTGCCAATTGTTCCTTTCCTAGGCAGTGTCGGGGGAGTGGGCAGCTCATGTAGGTCACTACACTCTGTTATGGACTAGTTAGCTGTCTGGAATCTGATGAGAAGGGGCCATAAATGGCCACTTGTTCTATGCTGGTTCCGAAAAATCAAGGGCTTGTCCGTCCCGACACTGCTCCAAGATCCAAGACTTGGGGTGTGACATTTGCTCCCATCACCTGCCTCAAACTGCTCTGCTGAGCCAATTAGGCTGGAGAGTTCAGTCCCATGGAGTGGGGGGAGGCAGCAGAGAACACATAAATGGAGCATATGTGGTACAGAGAGCTCGGTGAATAGTGGATGGAGCTTTCCTATCTTTCAAGAAGGGGTGGATAACCCTGTGGCATGCCCCAAGTCAGGGCTGTGAGAGTGGGGGAGATAAGCCCTCTGGAGAATTAGGACAAGTTTCCACCATAGAGCTCTGTCAGCATAATTCAACTTGTACTTCACACCATATGACACTGGGGCATGAGCAGCAAACATGCTGTCATTTCAAACTGTCCCATCACTCAGTGACCCATGTGGTTCAAGCTTGCAGCACCGTGTCACCCATGTGACCTCCACCCCACCATATCCCCACCTGACTCTACTGCTTCCCCTCTGTAAGGTGCCTTATCCCCACCTCTTCTGCAAGGGGAAATCTCCAAAGTTACTCTGGAAGCCAGCAGAGGAGTAATAAACAGCTTTGTCCGGCACTGAGATGCCATTCCCGCAAACACCATATTCTGTCTTCCCCCTCCCCAAGGTGGGGAGAGACACATCTTCTGCTTTCTGCCATTCCCTGGATGTGAGTACACTCCGCTCCTTTCCCCCTCCCCCTCTCCCCAATTTGCAGGCAGGACTGATCGGCAAAGGTGCCTGCTTTTGGGCAACTGAGCTTTAATGTGATTTTAGTCCCTTGTTTTAGAAGTGACTTCCCTGTTGCACCTGCTTCTAGATCCCTGCCCAGATCTGGCCGAGTGGAGCTGGGGTCCGTATGGGAATCTGGCTGCTCCTGTTGCCGTGTGCATAAAGAGAGATCTGCGAAGGATATCTCTGCCACACAGCATGGGCCTGTGTCCATGGTTCTGTAGTACGTACCACGGCACGCGGTGTTTCTGCACAACTCCGCCATTCTCTCCACATCAAGTGCTCGTGTGCCAAGCGTTGAATCGGTGTAGTATGAAAGGCAGAGAAAGGCTTGGCTGTGTTGGCATAGGCTTTCCTGGGGGAGAGGGAACTGCTGGGCATGACGGTTATGGCACGCTTTTAGAACTGGTTTTAAAGGGGGTTGGCCTCCTCAGCAATGGAGATATGATCCTATGTCAATTCTAATCTAGAAGCTCAGGGTATGAGAAGGTTTCAGTCGTGTTTGCAATCCAGCAGCATGGAAAGTAGAAGTAAATGATATGCCAGTTCTTGGCAGAACGCTAAGACAAGTTAGTTTCCATCAGTGCTCACTCTATCTTCCTAGTGCTGCACTTAATGTCTGAGGAAGCACCAAAGTAGCAGAAACAAAGCACAACTCTGAGATAATAGGTGTTTCGTTTTTGTCATAAGTTCTCATTGATTTCTTTTAAAGTCTGCATCTAAAGACTCTAAGCTAGATCCTTAGCCGGTGTAATTCATCATAGCTCCACTGACTTCTAGCCTTCTGAATGTATAAAATCTTCACATCAAATGACACAGTCCTCTGAAGGGGGGAGGAACTATACAAGTAATAAAGTTGTGTGGCTGTTCTAGCCCATGTGGCCTATTTCTCCCTGCCCCACTTTCCAAGTATGAACCTCCTGTCTGCTTCTCTTTAAATAATCAGAAGAGGAAGGAAGAGACTTACTCAGTAATGTAGGGCTTGGCTACATGGCATGGTACAGTCCATTTGAGGGGTGTGAAATGTAGAGCACTCTAATGTGCTACACTCTAACTGCCTATGTAAACCCTGCTGGTGCAAACTAGAAGGTATCTAGTTCATGTTAACATAGTACTGTTTCAAACTAGATTGTTAGGCTCAAAGGGTAGTGATCAACGGCTCGATACCTAGTTGGCAACCAGTATCAAGCGGAGTTCCCCAGGGATCGGTCCTGGGGCCAGTTTTGTTCAACATCTTTATCAATGATCTGGATGATGGAATAGATTGCACCCTCAGCAAGTTCGCAGAAGACACTAAGCTGGGGGGAGAGGTAAATATGCTGGAGGATAGGGATAGGGTCCAGAGTGACCTAGACAAATTGGAGGATTGGGCCAAAAGAAATCTGATGAGGTTCAACAAGGACAAGTGCAGAGTCCTGCACTTAAGACGGAAGAATCCCATGCACTGCTACAGGCTGGGGACTGACTGGCTAAGCATCAGTTCTGCAGAAAAGCACGTGGTGATTATAGTGGACGAGAAGCTGGATATGAGTCAGCAGTGTGCCCTCATTGCCAAGAAGGCCAACGGCATATTAGGCTGTATTAGTAGGAGCATTGCCAGCAGATCGAAGGAAGTGATTATTCCCTTCTATTCCGCACTGGTGAGGCCACACCTGGAGTATTGCATCCAGTTTTGGTTCCCCCCGCCCACTACAGAAGGGATGTGGACAAATTGGAGAGAGTCCAGCAGCCAGCGGGCAACGAAAATGATTAGGGGGCTGGAGCACATGACTTGCGAGGAGAGACTGAGGGAACTGGGCTTATTTAGTCTGCAGAAGAGAAGAGTGAGGGGGGATTTGATAGCAGCCTTCAACCACCTGAAGAGGGATTCCAAAGAGGATGGAGCTAGGCTGTTCTCAGTGGTGGCAGATGACAGAACAAGAAGCAATGGTCTCAAGTTGCAGTGGGGGAGGTCTAGGTTGGATATTAGGAAACACTATTTCATTAGGGGGGTGGTGAAGTACTGGAATGGGTTACCTAGGGAGGTGGTGAAATCTCCATCCTTAGAGGCTTTTAAGGCCGGCTTGACAAAGCTTTGGCTCGGATGATTCAGTTGGTGTTGGTCCTGCTATCCCTGTCTCTAACAAGAGCTCCAGCCCTGAGGCTTTCTACTCCAACCTGACACTGTCCCTGCTTTGCTTTCCCCAGGGCTGCTTTTTACGTTCCCCAGCTCTGTCCATCTTTGTGCTCATCCCTAGGCTTCCTTTCTGGACTCTCTACTCCAGGTGCCCCGAGCTAGGAGAAGCAGTAAAGCTCTGGTCTCTCCTTGAAGGTCTTTTACAGCACTGTCCCTCTTCCTAGTGTACACTGCAGGCAAGCCTACAGCTCCCATCAAGGCTGGGAATTCTGAGAGGTGAAGCTCTGCTGTTCTGAGCTGAAGCTGGGAACTGGCTGGGCTGGGCCTGTGGCCTGCTTTACAGGGCCAGCACTACCTGTTAGAGGCACACAAGCTATTTGGCTTTTCACAAGAAAAGGTAGTTAGAAGGGAAAAGAGAATCTGCTACTCGTAGTTCTCGCCATCTCTCCAGATGCTTCCATTTGTTGGGCTGCAATGAATGTTCTGGTAAAGAGAAAAGGGCTTTGAAATGTTGCTGGGCCCTGGTGTTTCCCATCTTCTCCATGCGGTCCGGTGCTGCATTGACAAAATGGCAGAGAATGCAGATGGGCAACTAAGTATATTAAACACATTTTGAGCAATTGGCAAGATCTCAACCTTTCTCCTCTTCAGGGCACCTGTCCTTCAGCAGGGCACCTGTGCACAGCCTCGGACCCCTGCTCAGCTAATTGCTGCTCCTAGAGCCTGCTTTTAATCTTGGTTGTACAGGAGACTGCACCTTTTCCTCCA